AACAAACGGGCCTTTGTCCTCCTCCCCTTAAAAAAGAAGGAGGAGAGGTAAGGGAAGGAGAGAGGGAGGGAGGAGGGGGGAGGGGGGAGGCTGGAATGGTAGAATGGAAAACGTTGCCCCTCGAACAAATCGAATCTATCGTTCGCGTTGTTTAGTTTTGCGATCTGAAAGGTGGCCCTGTTCTCCCTTTTCCGCAGATTTTGCTCTCTCAGCAGTTGTTCCCCTCGTTCGATTTTCGAACTCTGATTTTCCAACTCTTGTTCCCGCTTGTTTCGTTCGTTAGATTTAATTATGGATTTAAGAGAGGGGGAGGGGGGTTGGATAAATTGTGTACGATACTTAGGATAGTAAATTGGGTTTGTAAGGATTTGAACAATTATATAAAGTTTCGAGACATGTATCATTGATCTTTTGATTTTACGTATATAAATAATAAATTATTTTTGTTGATAATATTACGATTACTATATTATAATGTAGAATAGATTTTTGCGTTTAATATGTTAATACGTTGTGAAGTGAAAATTTTCTTGATAATAATACACGATATGATATAAATTACTGTGTTTTAGATGATTATTGTTTGATTATTTTCAAATTTCGTTCTCTATGTTTTGAGTGAAAAACACGTATTATAGAATTTTAAAAGTTTAGTAGGAAAGTTTATTTATTATTACAATATATTTCTATGTTATAATAATTTTATTTCTTCTAATTGTTTTTCCTCTCTTTCTGAAAAAATATATAGATATAGATGAAGAAATAATTTTAATTTAACTTTTTACTCTCCAGTTTTTCATTATGAAAGCCAATATTTTAGAATTGCTGTTCATTAGCCATCTCTTTTAGAATTTATAATCGGACACATTCAATGTTGAATGTCTAGTTTAATTGTTTTTTTTAAAGCTTTTAAAACGTTATTATTAGAAGAATTCTTTTTTGGGACGAAAGGATGGCAAAATATATATTATTATGACTGACTTTTCATTCAGGATATTTTTCATTCAGGTTCTACTTTCACAAATTCTTCTCAATTTTCAAACACGATTGTATCCTTCTCTATTTTATTTATATCTTGTTTCACGTAGATTTAATTAGCGAGAATCGTTATAAATTTAAAATAGTAAGTTGGATAAATTGTATCACTTAAAATATTTTAAAAGTTCTACTTCCTGTTTGGATATAAATTATTCATGAGCCGAGTTTCAGGATCCGATTTTCAAATCCGATCGTATCTCTGATATTTATGCTTTCTTTGCATAAATTTAATTGGCAAGGATCGTTATGAATTTAATTAAAAAAATTATATCACTTAAGATATTTTAGATTCTATTCTTGTTTAGCGTTAAATTATTCACGAGCTGATCTGATTTTCAAACAGGATTGCATCTTGTCGTTGTATTTATGTTTGTTCGGCGTAGATTTAATTTAATTAAAAAGCGAATTAGATCGTTCCACTTAAGATATTTTAGATTCTACTTCCTGTTTGGCATTAAATTGTTCATTGTTAACGAGTTAAAATTAGAAATTATAACTTGATTTTGATTTAATTCTTTTAACGGACGACGAATTAAATGTAATATATAGATTGAGGATATTTATAACGTTTATTAAAAATTTAAATATATAAAGGATATAAGAAACGTACGTGAAAAAAAAAAGATAAAATATCTAAAATGAAATATACATTATTTAAAATTCTATATTTAGCCATTTTTATAAAAATTTATAATCCAATAATATCTAATTTCTTATTTTACATCGATGAATATAAAACGAAAAAATAAAAAATTGTATGATTATTCTTTAACGATAAAAACTTATTTTTAATTCAATTCGCAATCTCTTTAAAATTAATTATTAAAATATCATAAGAATTTTTAAAAAATCTCAATTTCTCGCTTTTTCTTTAACTATAATATTTTTAAACATATTCTTTTCACGTGTATTAAAATGAATGTAAAATAGCATTTATAATACAAATTTTTGTATCCAAATTTATAAACATTGTCGAAAAAAAGAAAAATATTAAATGAAAGGAATAATTGTCAAGTAAATTCATTCAAAAGAAAATTTGTTTCACCTTTGTCAAACATTTCTATAAGAGGCGACAATTATTTTTATTATCCACGAATAGCAAAAAAGAAATTTCCATCCCTAAATTTTATTCCACCCCAGTGAATATCCATCGAATATTCATACACGCGTATTGTTACCACCAATATTCGATCCTGTGGCAATATTCTTGTCAATAGTAAAGGGACAAATTTGTATTGGCAAATCTTGCGGAAATTCCGTGTCGTTCGACATCGATTGGACGTATCGGGTGAAATCAGATTTCGATTAACGTCCCACGGCATCCCTTTTGCTCTCGAAAGTTTAAACACACTTCCGGATTTCGATGATCCCTCCAAACGGGATCCAGCTTTTGAATCTACCCGAAACGCTTGTTGCTAAAACGAAATATACGTGTATATATATATATAAGTGATGGAAAGATAGACATAGAGAACATTCGTGATGTTTAAAATGGTCTCGTTATCGAATAATTGGT